CCGCCCCGCCCTGCTCCCCCAGACGCCCCGTCACAAGTCTGGGCTGGGGCCCCCTGCCCGCCACTCAACCTGCCGGAGGCGTGGTCAGCCGCTGGCCCCTGGCACGTGTCCCCACTGACCCGCCCCCTCGCCGTCCCCCCTCCCTCACCGGCCCCCCTGCCTCAAAGACCCCCACTTCCTCACTGCCAGCCCCACTCACATGGTGCCCAGATGTTGTGTCCCCAGGGGACGGGCGAGAGGCCCTCCCAGGGGGCCCCGAGCCACCAGTGTGGCTGCCCGCGGCAGGAGCCAGGCGGACACAGCTCTCCGTGCTGACCTCGCTGGCCGGCGCCCCTCCTGGGGCAAGGATTGGGTTAGGTTGCAGGGCGAGGCCGTGGCCAGGAGGTGACCCCCATTGGCCACTGGGCTGTCCCGCCCCAGCCTGGCCCTGTGGTTCTCCGGCCCTGCCCAGAGCCTGTGCCGCGGGCAGGTGGGGGGGGGGAGCTGCTCTTGGGGGGGGAGCCCGGGCCACACCCGAAACCGGCTTTTGCCGTCGTCCTCAAGGTGACCGAGATGTTCTGTCCCTCCACGTTGGACTTTCAGGTCAAGTGAAAGCGCTGGTTAGGGGGCGCCCACGCGACAGCAGTGTCTCTCGAGTCTCAGTGACCGGGCTGGCCTGGCGCAGCCCAGCTCGCTCCACGGCCGAGGACTCAGGGGACAGGTAGCAGCGCCGGCCCCTCCGAGGGGTCACCGGGGCCAGCCCGGCCGACTGGGAGGGCGCCAGGCCCAAGGGCAGCGGGCAGTGCTGTCCGCCACAGGAGGTCCCCGTCAACACACCCCTGGCCACTCTGGGTCCCCTCACCATGGCCAGCAAGTCTGGGTCACAGTACCCCCAACAAAGAGGGGTGCCCAGCAGTTGGCCGGCACCCCACGGGCCCGTGACGGCTGTCCCTGGGGGCCGGGCGTGCAGGCGGGCGAGGGCTGCAGGAGTGGGCGCGCACACAGCTGCAGGGGGCCCGGCTCCCGCGCGGAGACCCCACCCCAGACCCCGGCCGCGTGTCGGGCGGCGACCGGTGGCCCCGGGTCGCCCCGACAGGCCCCTGACCCCTGCGCTGGCCTGGCCTCCTCCCGACGCGCCCGCAGACCTGCCGGGGGGTGGGGGGCTGGCTGCCGCCCGCGTCCTCCGCAGGTGCCTGGCTCCCTGGCCGTCGTGGCTCAGGCCGGAGGGCCGGGCAGGGCCGGGCAGGGCCGCTCGCGGGCCCCGAGCGAGACGCGTGCTGCCCACTAATGCGCTGAAGTATTTTCACTGAACTTGTACGTGAACCAGACTGCAGACACTGCTTGTGCCGCCTCCAACCCAAACACCAGGCGCAGCGGGGCGCAGACTGACAGGCGGCGGCCGTCTGGGGCC